TAAAGAGTACACTGAAATTATTTTGTTTTGATGTGGGTAATTCACAAATAAATCAACAAATTTTTCTAATGCTAAATCTACTACATCACCATCAACATCAGGAATTACTTGAAGACCATCATATAATATATCTACTTCATTTTTAGGTACTTGACAATCAAACAAATTAGTTAAAGCTTTAAATCTAATATTAATATCTTGACTGTCTGAAATAATTGGAATAAAAGCGTTATAATGAGAATGATACAGTTGAATAATTTGTTTGAGGTAATCTAAAGAGAGATAACTTACCTTTGAATAAGGATGAAATGAACATGCAATAAAACAATTGATTATTTGGTTTAATATTTCTTCGGTAATTGAATTTAAAGGTCTTAAATAATTTTTTGAAGCAGCTGAGAACAAATATTGTAATGGGATAATAGGAAAATCATTAACATGATTTTTAATAACTCCAATTAATCCTTTGATATAATCATTATAAACCATATCTTCAGATAGTTCCAATGTTTGAAGAGTTTGTTCTAATAATGAGAAGTCAATCATTTTAAATAAATTTTCAGGATCATTTATGGTAGCTAAATTATTTAAATCAATTTTTTGTATTTGAGTTTCATTAATTGTAAACATTAAATTATATATCGGTTCTCTTAATTGTTTTCTTTTATTTATTTTAAATGAATTTCTTGAATTAATATTTCTTGCTTGGTTTATAATTTCAATATTCAGTACAATACTTAGTAGAGGTTCCCAAGCTTGTTTTAATAATTTATAACATTCAGACATAATAATAATAACTCTTCCAATACAAATAACATCTTGGTCTGTAAATTTTGAAGAAAGATCTGAATTTGAGATTTTCTCTATTAACGTACCTATCTCTTTTATTTCATTTCTTTCTAATAAACAACCTGTTTGAAGTGTAGTGAATAATAAATTTGAATGGTTTGTTGTAAAATTTTTTATTTGAGTTATTTGTTTCCAAACAATTTCAAACATACAAAAAGCAATACTTTTTGTCATTTTAATTGGTTGAATAATAAAAGACTCATTTAATATATTAACTGGTCGAGTAATTGGTGCAATAGACCTTGGAACAAATGGTGTATTTTGAACTCTACGATACATTTGTAACAATTCATTGGTTTCATATTGAATTTGAAAATCTTTACAAATTATATTATTAAACTTTTCAAAAGTATCAACAACTTTAAGTTTTACATTAGAATTATGAGATTCAGTTGCAAGAATTAATAATGTAGTAGAAAATTGTTCTACTTTTTCTTCTGTTAAAATGTCTTTATATTTTATATTACATTGAAGATATCGTTTACTAAATAACCCAAAAACTCTTCCAACAATTTGTGATTCTCCAACCATTTGAAATCGGTAAAACAATCTTCTCATTGCTTGGTCAAGTTCTATATCATATAAATCTAAATTCATAATATATTCTTCTAAACATTCTTTACATAATGTATTACTTTTACATAAAACATTCCCAACTTTTTCTGGTAATAGTTCATCACTCATTAGAAACTTAGCTATACTTTTTGCATTTGGATCGATACATCCAATTTGAATTAATTTATCAATACCTGAAAATCCTTTTTGATTAAATAAAACAACACACTCTTTAATTTGTTCTTTAAGGGCTTGGTGTTTTGTAAATGTGTCATAATAATAATTTTCTTTATTTATTGTGTCATCATTAAATAATGAAAGGCTTCTCATAATTTCTGCTAATAAACTAAGTGCAATTAAATCATTGTTATTAATTAATTGAAGTAGTATAGAAACAATATTCTTAAATATATCAAATTGGTTGATTTGATAATCACCATATATAAATAGTGTTGGTAGTTTTTCATTGGAAATAGTTTCATTAATAGCCATTAATGCTGCCCTATTTGGATTTAATGAAACACTTTTAACACAAATCCCTAACCATGGAATTAACTGAAATAAAGAATGTTTAATAATACATCTCCATAATTCAATCAGATCAATTATTTCAGAAAATCCTAATTCCGGAGAAATAATATCAATAATATTTTGAACTCTTTCCGGAGAATCTTTCTTAAGCTCTCCTGAACACTGAGTAATAAATAAAGTTAAATAATAAATTGCATTTTCTATATGCCTAGAAATCATGTATGCTATTGAACGAATAAACACTATAACATCTTTATATTTAATATCATTGTTTGTTTCTATTGAGGATTTATATTTTGCAGCAAATAATGTTACAACATTTGTATGGTATAATGTTTGCTTACAACTTAGTAATTTACTTACAGTATTTTGTAATTGTACACCATGCATTTCAGTAAATGTTGTACAAATAAATGTTGATAAACAACGACAATATTCTTCTGTAGATGTTTTAGGAAAATTAGCAGTGAGTAATTTAAAAAGTAGTTCATTACAAACATCTGGATATGTTGATGATGGGACATGTCTAATATATCCATTCGCTAACATGTCTTCAATAAGGTCTAATAATAAATTTGCTTTAGATACTTGTGTAGAATAAAATAATTGAATAACTAAATCAATGAATTTTGTATGTTCTCCATCTTGTAAAGTATTAATAAATTCTTTTTCTTCGATACATTTTTTAAATTCATTTTTTAAGTTTACTTTTTGAATGCAATTAAGTAAAGGAGTAAGTTTCTCAAACAATGTTAATGGCTTGTCCATAACCAACTATCCAAAAAAAGTTCCTTTCAAAATTTCTTTTCTTCTTTTTCAATTGAAAAGTCTTTTAACTTTTCATTTTTTGAATCTCAAAACTTATGAAACATTTTTGGTTTTTACTTTTTTATTGAATTTTTATTCATTCATTCCTGCTCATTCTTTCTTTACTAAATTATAATTATTGTTATGTCTCACTTTTAATTAAATAAATTTGTGCCCTTTTACTTTTTTTTTTGTTTGTGTTTTTCTTTTGAAAATGTGTTTACGAAATTTTATTTTTATTTCCTTTTAATTTTTTATCAAAATCCACCACAGTTGTATTGGACTTCATCCAACAACACAACAAGTATTAAGAAGAGCAATAGAGAAACAAAAAAGAATGGGAGACTCATATCTTGCAATAGATGTAATTGTAATGTCATTAATGGAAGAGAAAGAAATTAGTACAATAGTAGGAAATAGTGGAATTAATGTGAAAGAATTTAACAAAAAAATAACAGAAATGAGAAAAGGACAAAGTGTAGAAACAAAAGAAGCAGAAAGTCAGTATGAAGCATTAAAGAAATATGGAAATGATTTAACAGCACAAGCAGAAAGTGGAAAGATGGATCCAATTATTGGAAGAGATGAAGAAATTAAACGAGTTATTCGTATTTTATCAAGAAGAACAAAAAATAATCCAGTATTAATAGGAGAACCAGGAGTAGGTAAAACAGCAGTAGTTGAAGGACTTGCACAACGAATAGTTAAAGGAGATGTTCCAAGTAATTTACAGTGTCGAGTTATTTTATATCCTGTCCTTCACTCTATTCGATGTACTATCCATAAAGCACTCTTATATTTCTATTCTTCATCTCAATTATTTCATTAATTATTTCATGTTCATAACCATTATATTTTTGATCATTAACTCCAATTACTTTATAATACATTGTTCAATGATTATTCTTACTAGTTCATTATTAATTATTCTATTTATTGTTATTGATGCCATTTTTATTTTATATATTAATTTTTATTATTTCATTTTGGGAGAAATCCTTCTATCAATAGAGAATATACAAAAAATTTTGTTTTAATGCCTATTGAGTAATGTCATAGAGTATTGTAAAGAAAATTAAACAACAAACAGATATTCAAGTTCAAAGAAAAGAAAGAATGAAATAACAATAAAATGTATAATAACAATGATAAAAGAAATAATAAGTGAAAAGTGAATAGAAAAAGAAGAATACAAATAAAAACAAATAAGAAAGAAAGTAAATACAATGATAATAAACATTATACAAAAAATAAATCTAAGTTATTAACAATAAATGAAATTGAAATGAAAAATAAAAGAATAAGAAATGAAATAGAGAAATGAGAACAATCAGAAATACTTAAAAAGTATGAAGATAAAGAGAAGAAATAGTATGATATGGGAACCAAAATAAGGAAAGAAATAATGAATCTAAATAAAAAAAACCACAAAAAGAAATGGGTAAAATAATTTGAATCAATAAAATAAATTAGTTTTTATTATTTTACTCTTAAAATAAAAATAAAAATTAAAAATGTAAATTAAATACTCATTCTATATTCATTTATATTTCTTTATATTTTATATCATTTTATGGTAAATTGTTCTAAATTATAAATGATTCAGAAATGATATTTGATTCAATGTAAGTATACATTTTTATTATTATGTTATTATTATGTTATTTATGTATTTTATTACTATATTTATTTTTATTCTTGTATTATATATCATCATTTTATCTATATATTTTATATTTATCATATTTTGTTAGTTTGATATTCTTATTATTTATATTTTATTTTATATATGAATATATTTTTATTTACATATAATTTCTTATATATTCATTTCATTATCTTATTTTCATTTTGATTATATTTTTATAATTTATATCTACTTCTTTCTTTTTATATTTATTATTATTTTATTTATATTATACTGATTTTATTTATCTTTTCTTTTATATATTTTATTTATTATTATATCATTTCATTTCTCTTATTATTTCTTTATTATTTATTATTATTCATTTAATTTTTATATCTTCTATCTATATCATATGAAATTAATATTTATTATTTATCACATATTATATATTATATACTAACCATATAACATTAATAACTGATTATATAATAAACACTGATAATAAATAATACATATAAATAAAAATTATAAAAATAAAAATGAATAAAATAATTTGCATAAATAAAATAATGTTAAATAATTTGCATCAATAAATTAAGCGCTTTTTTATTTCATATTTCTAATTTCTATAATAAAAAATACATCCTTTATTTCATCATTATTTTCATCTTTTATTATCTCATTTTGAATTATTCTTTTTTATCTTCTTTCTTTTTATATTCTCAACATTCTACTTTTATTCTTTTCATCATCTTCTACTTCTTATTTTCACTTTTTTCTTTTATATCATCATTTCTCTTCATTTTTCTCTTATTTCTTTTTTTATTAGCCCATTAATATTGATATTAAAACAATATATTTAACAATATGATAATTCATTTGATTCATTTATTATATTATATTCAAATATACATAGAGAATTTAATTAATAATAAAAAATGAACAAATTTCACATTAGAAAATAAAGAACATTATATATCATTTTTATTACTTAATTAAATTTTAAACCAATTAATTAAAACTTTCATTTAATTATGTCTTTTGCAAACAACAAAGATCTCATAGTTTTTGAATTGATTCAACTAGTGTTGATTCATCTCCTTGTTTTAATTCATTCATTTTTCTTTCAAGTTCTGCCTTAATCTCCTCCCTACTCTTTTGTGTTGTTGATTTTTTTATAATATCTTCTATCATTTCATTTGTTTTTTTAAGTTCAAGATATCCTCTTATTCGACTTTTATATCCAGGTTTCTTTTCAATATTCTCAGTTTCAATTAATTGGTCTAAATATTCATTAGAACTAGTAACTTTATTATTTAATGCAATTGATGATAATATATTAACACACTCTAGAATTCTTTGTTGTTTATCATAACAATCAATTTGGATTTCATAGTATTCTCCTTGTAACTTTTTTAACATGGTCTCTGCATTAGC